AATATCTCGGACGAAAGAAATCAGTTTAGTAATAATATTGATTTCCCTCTGAAATCATTGACATGCAGCATGACTCTTTGTTTTACATTTTTAGCAACGTGCGCATTAAAATCATCAATGCTAATGATTTAAACTGTAATGACCGACAATAAAAATCCAAGTCTCAACGTTAATGCTTCGAAAATCGGAATCTTTTGTTACCAGAAGGGGCTTTATTCAACTTAACATTCTCATTGAAGGAAGTGCTTTTCATTGGGCTGTGTTTAAAACTCTTTTATTTGTTTTAAAATTGTTTTGGATATCTGCTTTTATTAAACGTTTTATTTCAGTCACTAAACGTAATTTGCAGTTACTCTTCAAAGGTTCCCCGACTAACTATGAATTTTCTTGCATAATTCTTTTCAAATTAATTAAATCATTTATTTCCTTAATGAGGGGGGGTCTTTGCATCTAACCACCTAAGAAGATATGTTATGAGAGTAATTATGATTTCATTTCCTTCTTTCATTTTCAACATAAGATATACTTTTTTTTTCAATGGCGGGCTATAGCCGTTAGGCGTTCGCCATTACTGAGGCCGGAAGCGGTGGTCTCTTTAATATGCAGGCACCTAATATGCAAACCACAGCTGCCACTTATTAATGGGCTTGACAACTTACATCCATGTCTTCTGTATTCGAACCAGGGTATTCGATATCGGGGCCTTAGGTACGATAATTAGAGTCACTAACCACTTTCTCTTCTGGACGGCAAAGAGAACACATTTGAGGAGTAGAAATATCTATATCATTGTTTGTTTTTTTATTTGGATAAGGCAAATCACATGAAAGTTATCTGCCTATGGGAGGAATGCTCTCAAGAAAGAGTTTCTAAGGAAAACTGGCTCATATTTATATATAACACACGAGGAAAAATATGAAGAGAGCCATGCAACCAGCATGCTTCCAAGATTTGAACTTGGGCTGAGCTACTAGTGTTCAGCAGTGTTAACCACTAAGATGCTGATGGGCCCCACATAACTGATATTTATATGAAACATTATTTAAAAGGCAGAACCTTGTTTATATTTTCCTACGTTAAGAAATATGAAAAAAAAATTAAAAACTGAACTGGAAAGGAAACCGGTAAGAAAACTGATAAGTAATTGGTAAGAAACCTGATAAACTGTTACATTTATAAATAATATACTTTCATGGCCTGAAAGCTACCTTAATGATTCCATATGATTTATCATATCACGTCGAGCTTTGAGGCCACCGTTTAGTTTTCTTTTTTTTCTTCTGCTATAGAAAAATCTGTTGTCAAACTTTTAAGCTTTTTATTTAATGTATAAAGAGCAGGAATAAGTGAAAAATTCTACTTTAAAAATTTTGTTAGTAGTACAAGCCTTTTATTTTCAAATCATTGTAAATAAATTTTTAAAAATAGTTCTTCTTTGTCAACGTCCCTTATGACAAATGGCAAAGGGCATTTTAAAATGACATTTCATTTTATTTCTAATTGCAGCATAATTTTTGCAAGTGTAATTTTAATTTTACCGACTTCTTAGATGAAAGGGTTGATGATATTATAAAATTTTATGTCTAAAGTATACCGTATAAATATTACAGATATCACAACTGTATTTATTTCAATTTTTTAGCTTAAAAGCTTTGTGTTATTCAAACAGGAAATTATTTTTATGAAATTTTATTAATTTGTGTATGATATTATACTGGATTCGTATGAATTTTATAACATGAATTCCAAACACAGCAAACAGTCAAACTAAAAGCAAACAGTCTTCGTGTATTTCATTCATATAAAACGTGCCGCAATGTGCGCTAAAAAGTGCAATACTTTAACTCCTGTTACAGGATAATAATTTTCAAATTGAGGATCATTGACTTTTAGAATTACAATTCACATAATTAAAAACTGAGAAATATACCTTTAATCGAATCGGGTTAGAAGCCCGGATAATAGGCTAGTGCCTGAGATATTTTAAGTTTTTTTGCATTACATTAATACAAGGTAATTAAAAGTTCGCCAAGAAACATTCCTCTTGTCAGGTGGACAGTTCTCGTATGCTTCGTCGTATTCAAGTAAATAAAATAGTATTAAATGTCTCATCTACCTAATTAAGCTTCTTTCAACTAATTAGTAATGTTGCTTCGAAATTTCATTATGAGAAAGCATTGTCACTTTTGCGCTGAAATTTCATGCGATCGAGTATATTTCTAGGTGTAATTAAGGTTACTTAAGTCATATCTCTTTCTGAGCTTTCAAATCACTTCTTCAAAATTATACATGATCTTTTTAACACTAAAATCTATAAAAATATATAATTTCATATCAAAAATAAGATAAGGTAGCCGAGCTTGTTCGAAGGGCTTTTCTCACAATGTTTATTATATTTCTAAATTAATGAGATTTTTTTGATTGAACTGCACTTACAGTTAAATATAATCACTCTAAAAGTGATAAAAATAATTTTTTTTTGCGAAATTTATACAATCGAAATTAACAAAAATGTCAACCATCACTGACAAGAAAATAAGGATGATAAAAACATATTTTTGACTTTATTTTATGTATATTAAGCATAAGCAGCATAACAGTTGGAAAGTATTGATTTGCTAGTTATGTATGGCTAAATATGTTGGTCAACACATAAAATTTAGAAAAATGCTTACACTACTGAAGAAAAAATTATATAATTTAAATTCTGTGAGGCTAAGTTTTTAACTCTTAGTCTGTAACCTGCATAATAATATATAAACTGTGTGTGCAAAATTTCGAGTAACCCTCGGTTACGCTAAGGAACTTTAAGAGTTATCATGGTTGCTGTGAACATAAACCATATACGAAAAGATTTATGAAAAATCGCATTTAAAGTTCTCAGATTAACATAACATGACATATGTATACAAAACTATTCACGTTGCGACAAACGAAAAGGAGAAAATTCATAATAAAGATACTTCGCCAGACTCTCCAGACTAATTGAAATGCTTAAAATTATTTTGTTCACAAATAACATAAAAATAGCCAAAATTACATTTTTAATTTGTCCTCTAAACTTTCACTTCCGCTGTGGCAAACCATAACTTCCGGCTTGTCACAGCTCAGAAAAACTGGTATATTTCTCCACTTCTAAGAAACATATATATATATAAAGAAAAGTTGTTTTTGATAGCTGGTAGTGAACCTTTAAAAATGTAAATTTAAAAAAAAAATGGACGTTTTTAGACAAAATCAGCCTTTTGAACGAGGTCGGTTACGCTTAGAAACGCAAAGGTTTTTTAAAGTATGGAATAACTTTAGATAAAAATTTGCCGTGATTCTTAAATAATTTACATAGCGAAAAATTATCCAGAGAGGATTATTTCAGTATCTGAAGAAAGAGGATTCTTCCGTATCCTCAATAAATAGTACAGCAGAAATATTCTCACATTAAAATAATACTATCACAACGAGATCCTGTAAAAATACGCCAAAAGAAATATTGTTAAACTGGGTAACTTTAGAATGCAATAAATAATATATATACAGGTAAGGAGACACACAATCTGAAATGTGCAATATTTAACTTAATTCTGCATTTAAAAAAATATTCCTTTGACTTTTAACACATTGGTTTAAAGACAAATTAACGAAAATAGAATAAGAGATTCTTTTGTAAAAAGTATTAGACCTGTTTCAAGGAAATTCACATTCAAATTATTAGACCTGTTTCAAGGAAAAAATGAAAATTTTAACTGCACCCTCGCTGACGTTCAACTCACGGATCTTCCAACTTCGAACTGAACATGATGCATGAGATAATTTTTTAGTCGTCACTAAAAGGACAATTATTGATATGCAAAAAGAACGAATCGACGAAATATAAAGGAATTCGAGATATGATCCGCCTGATTTAAGTTTTCGCGCCGCAAGGTATGGACCATTAATACTTTCAGAGCACGAAAGGAAGAAACATACAATGTGCGGTTGCTGGAATTCAAACCCCAGATTATATAGTTGCAGCTGAAACAAGCTAACCACTTACATCCCGCATGTATGAAGGAGTTATTTCATATCACATTCATAACAAAAAACTACGGAGTAGGAAAGACAAAAATTATTTTTGATACTTTAGTTAATTTATATGTCAAAATCAAAATTAAAGTAGAACAAGTTCATTGATGGTCTCTATTTCGACATCAAAATACATGGTATGCAGAATGCAAGTCATTCTATAAATGTTAAGCAATAATCGTTTTATCCATTCCTTTGCTTTATTTAATTCATTGTGCCATTTCAATTATTTTTAACGATTTTTAATAAATACAGCTTTTCATAAAATAGGTTTGTGGAATATTTATACTAATTGTCAGAGGCACATCATAGTCTCTGCATTCAAGAGAGCTTCGTCGCATGTACAGTGATACAGCCTATCGAACAAAAATTATCCTCTAATTTGATAGCAGTAAAATATGAATTCTTTGCCCAGAAACTAATCCTCTGAAAGTTCAAAACATTCAATTTCGGCCTGGCCGAAATAAATCAGAGCTGCAAATAAGAGAGGAAAAAATAAGTTCGAGTGTAAGAAATCATCGCAAGTTGTTTGGGTTCCTGTTAAAACAAATCATTATAAACACAGGGTATATTTTTTCGTTCTGAAAAAAAAATGTAATACATCGAACTACTGCTAATCGAGGTAAAGAGTTGAATGAGTTCTTGCTGGTGAAATAACATCCTGGAACAGTTTCTAGATATTCCTATATATTTATTCATTGAAACGAATCTGTCTTGTAATGGTTTAATATCATGAATGTTCCAGTGGTTAAAAAAGTCCCTTCCTAATTACCTGTCCGAGTTCGAACTCTGCTGCAGATTGTTGTCGATTCATGGAAGTTTCTGTAGCCCAGTGGCGACACATTTCCGGTAGAATTCACCCCTTCGTTTGCTCCCTACAGTACGCCTTTCTCCAAACAACTTCGATCGGCCCTGTTTCGATCGGCAGCGCCCTCCTTCGAAGAACCGCGCCTGGGAGTGCTTATACTTTCCATCAGAACCGTTCTGGACGGTGGACGAAATTTTTGATTATGTGAAATCATACCTTCACGATGCACAGCGAGGAGCTGGAAAAAAACAACAGAGGAGTGCAGGATTTTCGAGGCACAAGTAACGGCGGTCATATGACACCCTCACCGGAGGATAATCCGAATCACCTCGTCTACAGGAAGGCAAGTAATTTAAGTTTTCAGTATTTAACTCTGTAATTGGAGTTTTACCGATTTTTGCATGTAAATGAACGACGAAAATAAGAGAGAACGTGCTTGGGGCTTGGAAAGTTTCCAACTTTTTGCCCCGTTAAATGATGGTAATTTTCTGTCTTATGAAAGGGGCCTATTTAACGCTGTTTTACCTACATGTGAATAAGTTAGTGCAAATATTGCAGAATATAAACACTTAGGTTCCTAAATGTGAAGGATTTCTTTTTATTGACAAATTCTATAAATAAGATACTGACTTTTAAAGAAAATCTTTATCGTTTGAGAGAATGATTGTTATTATTTATTTAACATGTAGCATCTGCATATTTTTTTCTGGTGGGAAAACAATTGCTTGGGTTAGGAGCTCAGTTTTCTTAGTTTCAAATGAATGTTAAAATCATTATATTTATATGGACATCAGCAACTTAGTGGCGTACTATTCGAGAAATTTCTTGAATTTATTTTGATTATTGTTACATTAAAATAATGGAAAGAATATTTTAGATTTAGTTTTTACGGAAGTTATTCTCTCTTTTTGATTGTGCAAAAATTATTTTTATCCTCTTTTGGATGTGAGCACAGCTATAAAACACTTACATAGTGGACTTCATTTCATTAAAACAGTTAAATTTAGTAACATATAAACTTTATGATAAGTTACAAGCTAGTTATTTTAAACTGTACTGTATTCTGGCTTTTCCAGTTTCAGTAGAAGATATACGAGAATGTATCCTAAACTCCAAAAAACGAAGGAAAGTTGAAAGGCAGATCAAAATAACAGCGTATTAATTGTAACTAGTAATTGCGCAATATTGCTTCTACTGATATGAGTTATTGCTTTTTTATTTTATTCCGCGACTTAACTATCAGATGTATCGATGCATCTGAATACCCATTAATTAGGGATTTAAATCTCTTTAGTATTAATTTCTGAATCTATAACTGTCAATTGGAAATCATATAGTGCATGTACTTATATAGTAAACTTTGAGCTTTTTGCATCAGAACTTTTGATTAATGAATAATTATGACCAACCAGGCGCAATTTCTGTAACGTTTTGTGTAATTTAACCAACCAGGCGAAATTTCTGTTAAGTTTTGTGAAGCAATAATTATAGTAATACAGTTGGCTATTATTTAATTTGCATTGTATTTTAGTTGTAAACGCAAATTTGCCGTCTTAATATTTAACCTCATATAATGACTTAAGTTACTAGATGCGGTAGTTTAAACAAAGAGATTGTAACATTTACATTTTTTTTAATCATATTATTCTGAAACCGAAAAAATTTGAATGTAAAAATATTTGCTGTCTTTGTCTTACTTGGGGATTTCTTTGTGATTTATTTTATATTTATTTATGGTCATGAAAACAATATAAATAAAAATAATTAAATAAAAATAAAAAAATAAATAATTATTTATATATTCTACATTTACGATACACAGTATAAACTGATTCATTAGCGAGATACTAGATGTGCACCAAATATGAATTTGAACCAAAGAAAAACATACTAAAGAAAGACACAGAGAGTTACTCTGCGCCTACTCTCTGCTTTAAAAAAAACGAGAAAGTAAAAGGAAGAAAAAAGTAAACATTATAGCTTAATTAAATATAAGGAGTTAAGGATTAATTAGCACAGAAATGTATCTGTAGTCCCAATTAAGACCTTGATTGCAGGTATCGTTCAAAATATTGAACGAAAGCGTACACTTTAATCGAAAGTGAATTGAAAATCAGATATATCATTCTCCTAGACATTACGATAACATCGATGATATGATATCGTTGTTGTCATTTAAAAACGAAAGTTTGAGACTGATATTTCAATAAAAAAAGTTTAATCAATTGTTTTAATTTTTATTACTGTTTTACTGATAATTATTAATATATTTTGAATGCAGGAACTAACCGAAAATTTATACAACTATTTTAAGTTCTATCGTACTTGGTTCACTGAAATTAGTTGCATTATTTAGTATGTGATATAATTCTTTACATTAAGGAAATTCTGTTTACCTTTGATAGATTTATTGCCTCATTGCAACATTTTAACAAAAAAAAAATTAGATTGGGAGTAAACGTAATCCTTAGCACTCTACAAGCAATTCTCAATAAATTGAAATAAATACATTGACTGAGAGTGCCCCTCAGGTGCAAAATTTGCATATTTTAGATTTCTGTTTATGTATAAGACGAACATAAAATGAATAAACAACCTTAGAATAGGAGTTTGGTTTATCAATTATTATTTAATTGGAAATATATATGTCCCAGGATCATTTTTAACTTGCGTATGTTAACAGTTTTGCAGATAAAAATTCGTATGAATGTCTACATATGTAAAGAAGGTTAGTTTGTCACATGTTAAGAATGCTTTACAAGGGTAGGCATTCGACGAGCATTCAAGCAGCATTCAAATGTCGGATTTGATGAAAACAGTTAGTTTGCTCATTTGGAGAAAAGAAAGTCTTGTGTTCGCGTCTCAGTCTCAGTTCAGAATTTATTGCATCTGAGGATAAAAGGACCCTCAACCAATACTATACAAAGATAAAGTACACTCCACTCCAAAGGAAAGAATTTGTGCGCAGTCCAGTCCGCCTGATGGAAATAAATTTACTTTAAAGCCCAAAATGGTTTACCTCCCTTAGAAAAGGGCGTATGTGATACTGATGAAAATTCTAAGATGCTAGAAGCTACTAGAGAATCAAATAACTTGTTCATTTTCGGAAGAAGAAGTACTATTACAAGTCTCTAATCTTTTGCTGGGGTTTCGAATCCAAAGTGTCCTCATCCGTGAGGAGGTGCTCTTCTGAGCTAGGTGGTCAGCCTCTCATAAAGCTTGATGGATATTTGTGCACTGAATGCTTAAGGCAATTGCCCAAGATTACATGGCTGTTTTCTGTTAAACAATAAAGTGATTCCCATTATTAGTGGTGTTTAGCTATTGTATAGAATAAACATATTGAAGCTGCAAGTGTGTAACTAATAAAAATCTAATAAAAATTGATTTCAGTATAATTTTTTATCTAGAATCTGTTTGGAACATCAAGGCTGGAATTTTCTGTTTAAACGGTATTCAAATAAAGACAAATAATGTACGTGGCATCCTCAAAATCAAACAAAGAATGTGAAATCGTAGCAGAATTTATTACATTATAAGGTGAATATATTTGAGAAAATATATAAAAGTAAGAGCAGTAGTGTATATGGTATTTATATTTTTATGCGCAAAGTCAATGAAAAATACATAATACATTCCATCGGGAAAACGAAAGGAAGACTAATTATAAAATACTTTCAAAAGCATTTCCAAAGATAACAATTTAAATCTGAATCAGAATAACTTATACCAACCTATGGAGAAAAAATACCCAGTGTCGAAGAATAAAAAATATTATTAGTGCTCTCAAGTTACACAAACTACCAACTTCCAATAATAATTTGTTTAATTACTGTCCTCTTTCTATCCAAAAAGAAATTTTTTGCGGGTAGAGTAGACTTTAAGGTACCCCTTGTATTATGGCGAAGTTGTTATTTTATTTATCGCCAAGTTGTCGTTTTATTTATGGTAGCCTGAATAGTTGAATGTTATGGAAACCCTATTGTGACGTAATCGGGTGCATGACTCTGGGAAATTTTGAATCATGGAATGTTTTGTAAGCGTTTTTGTGGTGTGTGTTGGTTTGATTCTTTAGACGGTAGAATGGCCGAATGTAGTAAGATTAATTTGAAGTTTCTGTACGATTTGGAGCGAAAGGGGAAAAGAGCCTTAATTGACTGGTGTCTAAATGAAGGTTTACTTAGTAGCCATTATAAGTGTCCTGTATGTAGGAAGGATATTCGTCTAGTCGAACGTAAAAACCGTTTAGATGGATTTGAATGGGTTTGTAGAAAAAAAGGTTCAGATAGTCACAATGTGAAGCGTTCGATCAGAAAGAGTACCTGGTTTGAAAAACGTTATTTGAGTATGATTGATAATTTGATTTTTACGTGGCTCTGGGTGTACGAAGCGAACTCGAAAATCATGGTAAGTGAATATTTGCTTTTGATAGTGCTTAAATGTATAACATGTTTTTCCTTTTTTATGTTATTTTATTGTTTGGTTTAGAATGTATTTTATTGAGATTATGTATTTTTTTGTTTGCCTATATTGTAGAATTTGGTGCTCCTTTGACTTTTTAAGTGAAAATATATCGATGTGTACATGGACAAAGTAAAGGGAGTGCGCAATGCCATTTTTGTGCAATTCGGGGATTCTTTTTTAAGTGAAAATAAGTCGATGTGTACATGGATACCGAGTTCGTGCAATTGTTTGTCTTGTTATTTTGGCTTTGTGTAGCGGTGATGTTTGGCGCAAAAATCGCCGCTTCCGAAGCCAAAATAACGAGTCAAAGAATTGCACACAATCGGTATCCATGTACCGCCAAAAATCGACAAGTTTCGCCAAGGGGTACTTTAAACTATACTTTTACCATTTTTACAATTCCAAATTATTAAGTTTTAAAGCACAAATTTGATTACGACATTGATTAGAAAGCAACCGACTGCAATAAATGCCATGCTTGAGGAAATCTTTCCATCAGCATTTTTTTTTTCCTTAACTGATTACGTGCTCCGCCCTTAGGCACTACACGGAAAGGGAGGGATGCCCCGTAGAAGTCTTTTTAAGGGAAACTGGCTCGTATCCACGTTACACATGGGGAAAACAACGAAAACGCCCATGCAACCAGCCCGTTTGCCGGGATTTGAACCCGGACCGAACTACCAGTGTTCAGCGGCTTTTACCGCTCGGCCGCTGGTGGGCCTTCCTTCAGTATTGAGCTTTAGTTGGCGTGTTGAAGAACGAAGATGTTATTTACAATTATTATTAGGAGCACATTTGCTAACATGATAATAGCGAACTTAGTTACTATAACCTTAGACACGGGTTCGAATCCCGGAGAAAGGATGGATGTTTGTAAGT